TCTGCAGAAGCCTTATCAGCGAGCGCTGATGTTCCCAGGTAATAAAAGTACAGCAACCTGCCTGTGTGTGTTGTGTTCGGTGTGTGGAAGCCTATTCCCTCCGTGGGAGCCCTGAGGCCAGTTAACCATGAAATAATTGATGCCTCTTCTATTGTGGAGGACGCCTCACCCACTGGCCTCTGAGTGTGGGAAAGCTAATCCTGACTGGGACTCATAGCTTTGTAATGCTAATGAGCTCCTATAAATAGAGGAGCACGACCCTCATTCCCAACAACTGACTCGCTCTCCTCAGAGAAACATCTCTCCATCTGAAACAATGGCTCCGACCTACATGACTGACTACTCTAAACTTTCCAACAAGGAAAAGCATAAAGTAAGTATTTTTGACATTTGAAACACAATTGTTTCTCTATATTTCTCTTTTGTTCTGCTATGAATTTTGAATCACAGAACTAACCAGATGTCTCCTTCCTCAACAGTTGAGAAAACCAGTGGTGGAGAAGATGCGCAGAGATCGCATCAACAACTGCATCGAGCAGCTCAAATCCATGCTGGAGAAGGAGTTCCACCAGCAGGATCCAAACACCAAGCTGGAGAAAGCTGACATCCTGGAGATGACGGTGGTTTTTATGAAACAGCAGCTGCAGCCCAAGACCTCGGCTCCACAGAAAGCCCACTTTGACGGCTATTCCCAGTGCTGGAGGGAGACCATGAGCTTCTTATCTGGAAACTCCAAGGTGGACGCTGTACGTCAGCATCTGAACCACTGCCAGGAAGGCCAGAGATCATCTAAAGGCCTCGTTCACGTGTCTCCAGCTTCCCATCAGCCCATCAAGGTGAAGCAGGAACCGTGTGCTCGCAGACCTCTCTGGAGACCCTGGTAGATGATGAAAGACTTTGACAGAAAAACTAGATGGTGGTTTTACCATCTTTTATGTAGTAGGAGATACTTCCTTTTTAAATTTGTTTTGAAAGAATCTTTTTATGGTGCTCCTACCTAGTTTGTAGAAGGAAGTGGGTTTCACAATGTGAAAGTGTAATCTTCTACAGGTGATTATATTCTGATCAGAGGTTTATTGTAACACACTTCTATAGTTTTCCTCATGGATGGATAGTAATTTGTATAAATCTTCACAATGAAGAGTCGATAAACATCTGTTTAACTCCTGTGGAGTCAAAGTAATTATTTGCAATGTTTGATATGCAAATGTAATGGTTTCTTCTTATGAAAGATGTATTTCTAATATATAGTGGCATATGTTAATTGTGCAATCATACTGTCACATACAAATAAACAACTTTTAAAAATAAACATTCCTGCTTTCCTTTTATTAATCGAAACAAATGCTTTGTGCTGCATATGATTAATGGACCTTTGATTAAACAATGTTTTTAACAAACCTTCACCACACTTGGTCAAAGTTGTCAAGTGGTCTCAGTTTCAGCTAATGGGAGTCCATTTACACTTAATGGTCAAAGAATAGCCCAAAATGACAACAAAAAGTCCTAAAATGATGTTACATTCATGCATTTGGCATACACTTTTATCCAAAGTGACTTACATGGCATTTAAGGTACACTCTCAGAAAAAAAAGGCACAAAACCTGGTACTGGGGCACTGTCACCTTTCAAAAGGTACTTATATGCAACCTTTAGGGGTAAAAAAGCAACGTTTTATGATGTGCTAAAAGCCTGATATTATCCAGTCAGCCAGTCATTATTGCAAACTAAACTCCTTTTCATTATTATGCAATAATGAAAAATGTGTTATCCCTTACATTATGTTGACCTATTAAATGAGTATAAAACCACATGCCAGCTGCTAAAACTTTAGCAACATCTGTATTTGTCCCATGTGTCCTCAATTTTAATATCTTCATGCCTCTTAAGCATTTTTTAAATCATGTAATAAGTGGCATGCATTAAACTAGACTCGGCTGAGTTTGAGTTGAGTGTGTGAGAAAAAGCGAAGGGACTTAATGTTCGTGTTTGTACTTCGAAACCCTTGATAATAGGTGCTGTGTGCTGTCAGCTCTGGTTTCATCAGACAGCTGGTGTGGATGATGGAGGGGGGCCGCGTCGCCCATCGAGTGTGGGGCTGGCTTCTCCGAGGATTTCCCACACCCGTGACTCTGGCTCCCATTTCAGATCCGACATTAAGGAAGTGTGCCGTGCTAAATCATCCATTAGGTATGGTGGTGTGAATCCTGACCCGTCCCTGCTACTGCCCCTAATTCAAACCTGAGCCCCCTGGGAAACAGCTATTCACTTGTTGTTTGAGTCTACTTGTTGCAAACTTGAAGTGGCGTATTGTTATGGGTCATGTGAGTTTTAAAAGTTCTTTATGCTTTAGAAACTATTTTCTACAATGTTGTAATGTGAAGCTAGAACAATTAACAATGACAAACATTAAAAAAATGATATAAATAAATGAAAAAAGAAAAATGAATAAAAATACAACAAAATAAATAACCATGATAGGTTAGCTATGCATTGAGTATTCCATCTAAAGTATTTAATTTAAATAAAATATTATAAAATTAAATGCAATTGGTGTAGAAACAAATTTCACTCAGAAATTGCTGGTAGATTTCACAATTACAAAGTAAAAGCAAGTAATGCATTGAATTAAACATGATTTTTTAAAGTAGAAAGACTGATATTTTCTTGTAAAATGCACTTCAGTAATCTTTTTATGTTTTATTGACAACTTTGAAAAATTATCTTTTTACAATGTATAACATAACCCCATATATATATATATATATATATATATATATATATATGAAATTAGAAAAAT